ATTTTAACCACAAACCATGCTGCCACAAATATTTAAGGAGGTTTTTTCAAAGAGACCACAACCAGTAAGAACCAAATAGAGTTTTTAGTACAAAACAGAGTTAGATCAGATCATTTTTCAAAGCATGCGAGTTTTTAGAAGGAAGGATTTTGTGTGCGAGTACAAGATGTCTGCTGTTTAATAAAAGTATGGTTCTTGTTATTATTTTGAGAGCAGATGTGCTTTGGGGGCAATGTACTGGATACAGTACAATGCAGGCAACTCAAATACTAACATGGTTTAGAGCTGTGCTAGCCAATCCAGTTGTTCCTAGCCACATGTGATTATTTAAAGTTCTTTAATTTTAAAATTCAGTTCCTCAGTCACACTAGCCACTTATCAAGAGCCACATGTGGTTTGTGACTACCACGTTAGGCAGCACAGATATAGAACCATCATGGCAGAAAGTTCTATTGGACAATGGTGATTTAGAATGAGGGATGCTAAAGTCAGAATGTCTGCTTTCAAATTATAGCCCTTCCCAGCTTACTTGTTATGTGACCTTGGCAGGTTACTTTACTCTCTAACTCTTAGTTTCCTCATCAATAAAATAGGTAGAGTAGCAATCCTTATACATTTCTTATAAAGATTAAATACAGTAGTCTTGATTAGGTGCTTAATAACTTCCCTGAGATATAAGAAAGCATCCAATAAATGGAAGCTATTATTCTTTTCCTAATAGTCTTTTTGTTTTCTTTTTGAAAGTAGGAGGTGGACACTGTGTTTATTCATTTAAAACTAATGACAAGATATTGTTGACCCGATTTCTAGTTAGACAAGCAGAAGGCAGTGTTGTAGGCTGCAGAAAACCCCAGTATGTCAGCCTGGTGATTTTTTTTTTTTTTAAACATGCCGTTCCTGAGAAACATGATAGAATTTGTTTTACTTCTCTTCTGCCAGGAAGTAACCCTTCTGGCTTTGTTAGAAGCGTGGTTTGTAATAATTGTACCCACCCCAGATGGCTCCTGAAAACCCTTTGAAATGCCATCTGCCAGGCGTGTGTCCAGCAGGCAGCCTGTCATTCTGCTAGAAGAAAAGAGGAGGCGGAGTCCCCTCCCCAGCCCTTTCCTCCCTCGCATCACTGAATGGAGCCTGGTCATATTGGCGGAGAACCAAGGCGAGTTGCTCAGAGGATAACTGGGAGTAAACCTCCTGCTAGCCTGCAGAGTGGAAAGGTTTTGTCTGGTAATAAACCCTGAAGGTTTTATGGGCAGAGACTTACTCGCCCTCTATTCCCTTCCCCTGCAGCTCAAAGGCCATCTAAGCATATTTATTTACAGAGGGAAATGGTATCTGCTAGTTTTATTTTCCCCTAAAATGTAGCATTTTTGAAGTCATCATTATTGTGAATCCTTTCAGGAAATTAAGACCCAAGGGTGACTGTTGTCTTTAAAGTCTGACAAATTAGTTCTGAAAACATGGTTGAAAGAAATGGCAAAGATAAGATGGCTATAGAAAGAGGGGGGAAATAACATTGTCTGGTTTTGGAAGACTTTAGAAACCCAACAAGTCTTTTCTTTGGTTTTATTCATTCTCATCTTTTTTGAGAGGTGGAGTCGGGGGATGGATTAAATTAATGGAATTTTGGTATGCAGACTGAGTATGAGAGTTGCCATATAGAACATACTTAGGACAGATCTTTTCACAGCAAGTTTCAAAGAGATTATATTCTTGCACTACACTGGAATTTCCCAATATGATGTCAACTGTTTGTTTTCCAAGTAGCCGACTGAACAGCTCTTTCACTTGGCTCCAAGATATCATACCCTCATCCTTTGCTGACTGCTGCCTCTTAGTCTCCATTGAGGACCTTCCTTCTTTTCCGTGTTTCTACATATTATAAGGTTTTAGTGTTCAACCCAAACTCCTTGGCTTCTTTTTCTAGATAGTCTCTCCCTAGATTCCCTCTTTCTATCCCTTGCCTTTAAATACTAGTGGTTTACTAATCATTCCCAAGTTTATGTACCAACCTTCACTCTGATCTTCAGATTTATATACTCAACTATCCACAGCTCTCTACACCTAGGGGTTTAATGGCATCTCAAACTTTACATGTCCAAAAATGGACTCTTAATTTTTTTACCCTAAAAATTATTTCTTCCATCTTCTTGATCTCTATAAATGGCACCACCCATTTGCCCAGGTCAAAAAATTAGATATCAGTCTTCATTCATGTGTTTTTCTTACATATCCACTCCATCAGCAAGTTCTATCTTAAAAATATAGACCTAGAATGGCCTGATGAGTCGACATACTTTTAAAATGTCTATCTTGTGGACATATATTACATCTATTTAAGTTATTCACAATCCGTGATAAAAATCCGACTGCTTCTTACCACATCCTACTATTCTTGTCTGTGCCCTGATTTTCTCTCACTTGGGCACTGTAATAGCCACCTAATTGGTCTTCTTGCTTCTATTCTTGCCTCCCTCCCTCTACTATTTTGCCCGTAGCCTGTAATCTATAAAGTCAAACGATCTTTTAAAAATAAATTATGGCATCACCCTGCTCAGAACCCTCTAGTGGCTTCTCATCATCTTTAGAATAAAATCTGAAGTGTTTTCTGTGGCCTACATAACCGGGCCCCTTGCTTTCATTTCTAACCTGTTTTCCACTGCTCTACTGCATTTCTCTGGCTTTTTTTTTTTGCTCTTGCCTCAACCTGCCAAGCCTATTCCCACATCATAGCCCTAGGTCTTAACCCCTTCCTAGGATGCTTTTCTCATCACCTTTGCAGGACTCTAGATTTGGATGAACCTCCTTAGCCAGGCTTTTCCTAATCACCTATCTAAAATAGCTTCTCTATCACCACCTCCCTTCCCTCCTCCAAGACACTCTCCAGCCTTTTAACCTATGTTACTCTGAGACACTTTCTAACCCTTTAAGCTCTGTTTCCTACAGAAAAATTATTTCTACCTAAAATTAAATGCTATATCTATTCACATACATAATTATTTTTCGTCTTTCATAGTAAACTGTAAATTCCATTAGGGTAGGGGCTTCGTCTTGTTCACCAGTATTTCGCCAGTGCCTAAATTAGTGCCTGGCATATATTAGGACCTCAGTAAATATTTATCAAATAAATGGAACATAAGGATCTGTGCAATGGTAAGAATATAAGTTATTTGAACTGTAATATTCTATTAACTCGTTTCAGTCTAACAGTAACATAAACCACAATATCTGCTAATGGTTATTGAGCTAAGTCTTCGAAAGGATTATCTCATGCAATACACACAGCAAACCTCTGGTGTAGGTACTATTATGATCTCCATTTTGCAGATGAGGAAACTGAGAAATAACAGAAACTAAGGAACATGCCCAAGACCACAAGTTGGGGAACCAGACCATGAACCATCGTTCTCACTCCAGACCCCTGCTTATCAACAGCATATGATACTCTTTATGTTTCTGGACTACCTACTATGTACCTGACACTAGAGATATAACTTTAAAAGTTGTGAGGTACTTCAAAGTACTTGTCATTGGGGAGCCAGAAATGGGAACAAGCTAGGAAACAGCAGAAGAGCAGATTCCTAGATACCATACAAGTAGCCTTTACCAGAAAGCCCAGCATGCTGGGCATGGTAAACAAACGTTTTTAATGTAACCATTCTATGGACAATTTGCAACTATTTTTAAAACACTCAGACTTTAGCTATTAGAAAAATTGGGCTCATTTAAAAATGTATTTATCTTGAGTTAAATATGTAAAATGTATTAAGTTTTCCATCTTACAAAAATTCTAGATATCCACTGTAGGTGTGTGGATTTGCTCGGCCACATAGGCAAGTGATCAGAGAATGCACTGTACTAGGAATATTAGAGCCACTAGAATCATACATAGAGCTGGTTATTTAATTGCTTTAAAGTTCCTAAGCTTACTGAAAAATCCAGGCTTATTACGTAGGAAAACATTGACCTTAAAGCACCATAGGTGATAGTGCCTTTCAAAATCAGCCATGTCAGGTATACCCCCTAACTTGAACGCAGGAGCAGAAATCATGTGTTTTGCTTTTTTGAGGTGGAGGGGCTTTTCATAATATTTAAGATAGGTTCCTAGTATATACTCCATAATTGATTCTTGCTTTATTTTCTTTTATTGGTTTATGCATAAACCACATCCTTCCACATTGCTTCTACGCTTTGGGTTGAGATTGAGATAAAATGGTAGGTCTACAGTCCAGCACCTGAGCTGGGTGACTAAAATGCTCTAGAGGTTCTATATTTATTTTTTCATAAGAGAATTTGTTCTACTTATTAGTCATTGAAAGAATAACCAGCGTAAGGCAAAGGGGAGAATTTTCTAGCAAATGCAGTGTCCTTTCTCTGTAGTCAGAACTTGTGGCTGGCCTCTTTTTACCAAACATATTAATTACATGGAAGGCAGCAGCGTTATTTAGTCCCTGGGAGATATCCAGCCAAGATCCAGACACAGATCTTGGGCAGTCACAGTTCTCTAGTGAAGTGTTTATGCAGTGCATGTCATTTTCTTCAAAAGGCTTATTACATTGGAACTTGCCAGATGTACTAAGGAACACAAGACTCTCAAGGCCTGTGATAAAAATATAAGCCCCTTAGGCACCGAGCTTAAGGTGGATAACTTTTTAGTATTTGCCAGAGCCCTCAAAGGTGCTGATTATGAATGTTTTCTGTATAAAATCCAGTTCACCTTTTTCATTCAGTGCATTTTTAAAAGGATAAAACTCCTTCTGCCTTACCTCGCTGTGCTTGGTTTTCTCTTTGTCTTCTTTGAGAGTCCTGGGCACTGGACGTTATAAATGAGGATGTTATTCTGTTAGAAAAAGTTGCCTTTACCAGGTCCCTGTCTGGGCAGATCGGTCTCAGAATCTTAGGTACTGCAGCTTACTGAACAGGTTATTTTAATTACACCTGGATGCAGAGCTTCCTGTTTTAGTGACTGATGGTATCTTGTGCATTTGTCTCGTCTCCTGCAGGCACAACCCGATCTCCGAGAGAAGGAGAAGTGCCTGGCGTGGACTATAACTTTCTGACCGTGAAGGAGTTCTTGGACCTCGAGCAGAGCGGGACTCTTCTGGAAGTTGGCACCTATGAAGGTGAGCTTATCAATGTAGCAGCCATGAGGGTGCCTCTCTCCTTGGCACTTCGGAGGACTCAGGGCCATCTCGGCAGAAATCTTTCATGGACTAGCAAGGTCTGAACAACTATAGGAGATTTCAGTTCACCTTAATAATAATAAAATATATGGAATAAGGTGTTGTGGAGCTCTTTAAAAGTAGTTTTCGTTTTTTTCCTCTGGGAGTTTTCTGATTTAACTTACTAATTTAAATATGTATGTTTTGTTTTTTTAATATGGACATGTGTTTTATTAGAAGAGGAAGAAGAATCATGGTCAGTCTCAAAATGTGACCTAATCAGTACTGTTGTTTTAATCTTGAGGGAACGGAATGTCATTTTTACCACGAATTGATTTTTAATATATTTTTGAGTAGATAATACATTTACATGGTTCATAAAGCAAAATATTTCAAGAATATTCAGTAAGTAATATCTTTCCTATACCTATCTTCTACTTGCCTAATTTCCAGTTGTTTTTTTTCTGCCCATGTTACAACCAATGTTATTAGTTTCTGGTTACTGTTCTGAAATTTCCTTATGTAAATACAAATATCTGTGTGTTCTTATTTCCTTCCTGTTTTACACAAAAAGTAATACACACTACATGCTGTTTGGTACCTTGCTCTTTTATTCAAGAGTATGTCTTACAGGTCTTTGCAATTCCGTAACAGAGTACCTGTTTTATAAGTGGCTGTATAATCTTTTTGTATGGGCATACCATAATTTCTTTAACTAGTTCCCTTTGGATAAATATTTTTAATATTTCAAAACATTATTGCACTGAATAACATAGACATAAATCATTTCACACAGGTGAAAATATAAGATGAGATCTCACAAATGAGATTGCAAGGTCAAAGCCAAATGTGGGAAAAAATTAAACTTACATTTTCTGAAAACAATATTATAGCTTGATTGCTCTTTGGAGTGTTATTGTTTGAGACAGAAGAGCATAATATAATACTATTATTAACTGGGTAAAATTATTAACTTACAAAAGTTATTATGGTATATCTTTATAAACTCTGAAAATTTGGATTTACTGGATGATCACAGGGGCACTTTCAAGATTAGAGTTAAAAACAAAGGGTAAATACAAAGTTGACCATTATTGTGTTAGAGACATTATAGCTTTGATGTGAGAATAGCCCCCATCTCAGGCAGTGGCTACAAGTTAAGTAATTGATCATCAGTCTTAGGTGTGCTAATTCTAATTCAGTGTTCTTTGGGAGCGGGGAGGGGAAGAAAATTATCTTTGTACCTACTGTTCATTTCCAAATTGTGAATATACATTGGACAGTGTTTAGATGTTAGTCAAGTTTCTGATGTGAACTCAAATATTTCTTTTGAGTGTTGCTCATTATCAGTTATCTAAGTTTCCTGGTGATTGGGAATATGAGAGAAGATCCGAGAATGCCTGAAGCAAGAATGGTTCATTAAGTCCTAGAAGTAAGTAAGGAAAGGGCAGAATACTGGGAGCTTCTTCAACATGTTGTCTTATAGATGTGAATCTAGTTAAAAATTCAAATGACTGAGAACAGAGCAAATGTGAATCCTCTTTGGTTAGCAGAAAGTGAATAGTCCTTACGTGAAGTCATTTATTATGCCCATCTGGGAGCTTGACTCCTCTAATATAGAAAACATCCATTTGCATTTTTAGAGAGGTTAAGGGTGAGAGTGGCTGTGCAAAGCCAGTGTTGGGTTGAAAAGGAAAAGCACGTGGCTTATACAATGACTGGTCATTTTATTGAGGTGTTTATGTTACATATGATATATAGGTGGAATCACTTTGTTTTCCCATTTAATTTTATTGCTTTGATAGACATAGCTATTATTACCATTTTTAGATGGGGATGCTGAGGCCAAGTAGCACTTAGGCATTTTTTTCAAGGTTGTACAGCTGATTCTAGAATGCTAGAGCCAAGAACCAAACCCAGCTCAGTTGGACTTTCAGATCCCACACTC